GTACTAAAAAGCTAATTATTTTCAATGTAAATTATTTCTTTTCTCATAATTCACCTAGGAAATTAACTATGATAAGTACTATGGCATATTATATATGGATCGATTACTGAATTATCAGGCAACATTTATCTAATTAGAATTAATTTGGAAACTAGTGCCCTGGAAAGCATAGTCACTTTTGGCATTCCTTTGGTAACTTTCATTTAGAGTATTATTAATGACTATTTGNGACCACACTATAGGCCACCACATCGTCAGCACTTCACTTCTTCAGCACAATCACCACATTTGACAATCCATTCAACCAATGCTTGCGTTCATTGTCTCACAACAAGTGTTCAATTAATGGCAAACTAATAGTAATGAGAGATAATAACAATACGATTGGCTGTCAAGCGATGCGTTCATCTGTTATAAGACATCAATCGTTTCACTCATGAGTTTTGGTGTCGAAAATGGCTCTCAATTACAGATAAAAACACAGCACGAGATCTAATGTCAGAGTTTGTCATACATTGTATGCCTTATATACTGGGCTAAGGTTAGGCCCCAAACAACGTATAACCCAATGCTTTAGTGGCAAACTCTCTGGTATTTCAATGTTTACATAAGGCTTTTGAGTCCCAAACAGAGGTGTTTGTGAAGAGAGAGAGAGAGAGAGAGAGAGAGAGAGAGAGAGAGAGAGAGAGAGCGCAGACTGTGTGCACACAAACTGCACACAAACGGAGGCCGAGTGTGAGGGCATTGGAGGGGCACTGAAGGGGCGGTCATTGGGGGGACTGAAGGCCTGTTTGCAGGCATTGACCGACTCTAACACTTGTGGTGTAAGAATTGTCAAACTCTTGTGAGCGCTGAGCGTTGGATCCCATGTGACTCTCGACACCACTGTTTCACACATTGTGTGCCTCTCTTTGTATGGATGGTTGTCCTGTGCTGTCCTCCAGTCCTCCCAATCCCTCTGTCATACCATTGGTTCGTCATTTGAAAAGAAGACCAAAACTTTGCTTTTATGACTATTTGTGCCAAAACTGATTTGACTCGCATTTGAATGCCTCCACATTTTGGCCATTCATTCAATGCTTTTATATTTGAGACTAATATTTGCCTACAAATCACTAAAACATATTTGAATTGATATTTTGCACATATTTTGCACACAATAACTGTTAACCACTTTTATATATGATCTCAAATTTACGAAACTTTCATATTTAGCCACAACTATAATACTTAAAACTTAAAGTTGACAAAATGATGCATGTAGACAACTTGGCCAATCTATAACTTTTGAATTCTCATTTCGTGTTGTCTATATATTAGGTGCTAATAATTAGGAGAATGTAAATTACTATTGAGTATATTATAAGTTATAATTTATTATGATTATGATTATTTGCGCTAAACATTGTCCACATTTGCAACTATCCCACTCTGTGTTAGGTCTCCAAACAGATGTCATTCATTCCTATCTTTTAACATACAATCAATTCAATAATGGGTTTTGCAATGATTTTCTTGAATTTATAGTAAAATATATTTTAAGCTTTTAGTGTGATATTTGTGTGTGAAATGTAAGACTTAAGCCTTTAGTGATTCTGTATTTTGTTATCATTCATATGAAAGTAATTGACGGCAAAGTATACACAGGTGTTGATAGGATGTGATGGGCACGACTAGACTGACCAACTCACAAATTTATGTAAGACTTAAGCCTTTAGTGATTCTGTATTTTGTTATCATTCATATGAAAGTAATTGACGGCAAAGTATACACAGGTGTTGATAGGATGTGATGGGCACGACTAGACTGACCAACTCACAAATTGTAATACCTTGACATTTTTCAAAAATGCCGAGACATTCCCTGACAATTCAGTTAAATCGCCTTCACATTCACCTTAACACTTGTTTTTTGACAAAATTGTCTGCAAACATGTTAGGACAAATTATTTTCATTGTTAATAGAATCAACTTTATTTTAACTATTTAAAACGTCTAGTAATTCGCAAAATGTTTCAAACTTTGACGGTTGGTCACCCTAGGCAAGACTCCCGGTGCAGCTGCACTAACACTACTAAATACTGGACAATACATGAATGTAAAGTTTACATCAAATCCCTTTAGCCACACATTTAGCATTTATTGCTTTACAACTTTACGTCAATTCCTTTAGAATTCAAATTCTGTATATAATACCCATTTGTGGTCAATATTTGCTCATATTTTAAATATCGGTTTTATTTTGCAGTTATTTTCAATATTGGTGTAAATTACAGTCAATTCAATTAATAATACTTTTATTATATTATAATATTTATTATATGAGAATCCATTTATTTAAATGTATAACCTATAAATTGTACCAAAATTGTTACTATAATTTGATATAGTATATTTTTCATATAAGTCATTATACATTTATAAGTCATTTTAATGTTATGAGAAACATTTACAGAATAATAATAATAAATAAATACATAGTTGTGTGAGAATTAAGGATGGTGGCAATAATATCGATACATACACTCGAACAATCTATAATGTTCAATAGGGGAAACGTTAATAACTTTTGACTGGAGAAGTTCTAACTCTTGAGTAATTCAAGTTAGATTCATTATTTCAATTAAAAAAATGTTGCCTGATAATTCAGTAATCGATCCATATATAATATGCCATAGTACTTATCATAGTTAATTTCCTAGGTGAATTATGAGAAAAGAAATAATTTACATTGAAAATAATTAGCTTTTTAGTACAATTATTGACTTTTTCTAGCTATATTAGTGCCGATTATTTAGAACCTAGATTTAATTTTGAAAAATTAACAAATTGAAGTTCTATTCACACCAAACGTCTGGGTGAATTTCACACATGGGATATATATTTTGGCAATTTCACAATTCATTTTAAGCGATCTGTATTTTGTAGAACGGAGGGTTTCTATAACTCAAAAACAACCAGGTAAAATATAGAATTTTAAAATGTTAAAATTGACAAATGATTAGACACGTATTTCATAATTTTTCTAAACAAATATCTGGATTAAAGAACAGATACCTAAAGTGCATAAAATTCTACATTTCATTTGCTTGCCAATTAAAATTAATTTTCAAGTTTAAACTGACAAGAATTACTAATAGAAAAAAAGTAATCTCTTAGATTCTCAATATTTTATAGTTTTGAAGAATTTTTTTTATAAAAACAAAATTTGTATAATCGTTAATATTGTTTAGAATGAAATGACATTACCCTCTATTTGTTCACATTTTTAATGGATTTCAATGGGAATTATTTCTTTTCTTATAATTTACTTAAAAATATCACTGTGATAGGTACTATGGCATATTATAAATTTAATAATATAAATTAATATAAATCATAATATAAATTTATATGGATTGATTACTGAATTATCAGGCAACATTTATCTAATTAGAATTAATTTGGAAACTAGTGCCCTGGAAAGCATAGTCACTTTTGGCATTCCTTTGGTAACTTTCATTTAGAGTATTATTAATGACTATTTGAGTCAAATGAAAAACTATTTTGCGATGCTTTGGTAATTAAATAATGAATTAGTTCACAAAAGACCGCACCCACAGTGGGTCCACACCCCTCACCCCTCACACCCACACAACACTCAATCCCTTATCAATGTATCGATTGATCCCTAATTGAGATCTCATCTGAAATCTCATGCAATATCTGATCTCATATAAGAAAATGAGTGACAAAATGGCAAAAAGTTAGACAACAATCGCTTTCAATGAAATGACATCTCAATAATTGTCACAATTGGAGGACTAATACTGTATTGTATTCATAAATGTATTGATAATTGTATTAATAAATGTTCAGTCATTACAAGACATAAGTTGTCTGAAAAGTGATGCAAAGAGTGCTGACAAGTGAAGCATAAGTGGAGTTAACATTGAAATTGATGTCATTTTAAGGCGTATTTGATGTGTTGTGCAAACGATTGGTATTTATATTGTAATCAAAACACTATTCAATTCACTCTTTATTGAAATCTATTTAAATGTATTAATCGTTTCCGCATTTGTATTCAATTCAATCATTGATTCATTTCAAACAAATGACACAAATGTCTATCAATTACTCATTGATTGAATGAAACGCTAATTATATTTATGTTTATTAAGAAATTGTAATAAAATAGACGACTGTTTTGTAATTTAAATTAATTAATAGTTTTAATGAAATTAATTAGTGATATATTGAGTGCTAAACGATTGGACACTGAAATCGTTTGATTGAATTGATTGAAGAGATGATGTCTTCAGCTGTGATGATGGATCAGATGAATGTCAAAGTGGATGACGAGTGTCCACAACAAGAGTCTACGGATGGAGTGAATGGTGTGATGAAGAGCGGCGCCGAAGACTCAATTAGTCCACTCTATGGCCACCAGTTGTCGACTACATGTGTGTCTTCGGCGCCGAAAGAGTCGTGGCTTTTGAGGCTATTTGAAGCACAACTGTTTGATATGTCGATTGCCATCACTTATCTGTTTAAGTCGAAAGAGTCGGGTGTCCTCTCATACCTCGGCAATCGGATGTTCACATTCACCGACTCGGAAGTGGACGTGTATTTACCACAACTCATCACTCTCTACATCCATCACACAGACATCGCTGAATCGCTTCACCCATATCTGGTCAGTCGGTGCCGAAGCAGCGCTCATCTGTCACTACAATTGGTATGGCTTTTGAACGCTTTCTGTAACGACACCGTCTATTCTTCGGCCGCTATTCCCAAGCCATCCAACTCTCGCCGCAAATCATTAGGTCTTAAACTCCGAAATTTGATTCTATCCGAAGAATTGCGTCCAAAACAACAACGACTGCAACAACAAACCCAAAGTCCGATGTCTGCGACCACTCCTCATAAGTGTACCCATAATAATGGACACAATCACGAAAATGCAAAACTGTGTCCCAATATAACCAACAATGAAAACGTATCGTTAAATCCCATTCATTGTATTCAACAGCAAAACAATTTATGTAATGATCACTCGATTACACAAACGAAATATCACAACAAAACCCATCAGCGGTCGTACAGCGACTTCAGTTGCAACCAATCCCTGTCTCTCAGATCCGGTTCTCTCAGACCCGTCGGTCACTCGTCTCAGAGCAAAGGGAGAGTAACTTTGGGTGATCTGACATCTGGTCGAGCCTTTGACAACGGATGCGTTTGTTTCAACACATGTTATTGCGTTTGCAATGAACTTCTTGGCCAACGGGTGTCTTTTCTTCGGCCGCTATTCCCAAGCCATCCAACTCTCGCCGCAAATCATTAGGTCTTAAACTCCGAAATTTGATTCTATCCGAAGAATTGCGTCCAAAACAACAACGACTGCAACAACAAACCCAAAGTCCGATGTCTGCGACCGCTCCTCATAAGTGTACCCATAATAATGGACACGAAAATACAAAACTGTGTCCCAATATAACCAACAATGAAAACGTATCGTTAAATCCCATTCATTGTATTCAACAGCAAAACAATTCATGTAATGATCACTCGATTACACAAACGAAATATCATAACAAAACCCATCAGCGGTCGTACAGCGACTTCAGTTGCAACCAATCCTTGTCTCTCAGATCCGGTTCTCTCAGACCCGTCGGTCTCTCGTCTCAGAGCAAAGGGAGAGTAACTTTGGGTGATCTGACATCTGGTCGAGCCTTTGACAACGGATGCGTTTGTTTCAACACATGTTATTGCGTTTGCAATGAACTTCTTGGCCAACGGGTGTCTCTGTGCCACTGCGGGGCTCCACGACTGACAGCTGAATATGAATTCATTAAATGTCTCATTAATATTGGTCTTCGACTACAAGCCGTTCCAACAAAAGAAGTGAAATCTCAGCGCTTGATTGCAGAGCTGTTGCAGCTCAACATCAACCTTCCGGCTCGCGTTTGGCTTCCCATCTATAATGTGCCGCATATGATAGTGAGAGTACCCCCACAGGCGGCTGTACTCCTCAACTCCAAAGATAAGGCCCCGTATCTGATATGCGTCGAAGTGATCGAAGTCGACGACATTAACGCCACTCCAATCCCTACGAAACAAATTCAAAGTTTAAGGCAAACCAAATCTGTGGAGAATTTGATCGAATTCGGCCAAAACCCCAATAATAAGCTGAATGGCAACACTAACCCCACGATTACACGAATCGCGAGTCACAACCATATTATGTCTTCATATCCTTCTGTTTTGGACGACTCGGACTGTTGGACACCAGAAGACGATGAGGTGTCGAAACAATATAGACTTCGGATGCGTTCGTACGATAAGGACACGATCTCGCAGTTGTCTCAGGACTCGGGCACGAGTGGAGACAACGCTCATCCAGTGTTTGTCGCCGCCGGAGATATACGGCGAAGACTGAGCGAAACGATAAACGCCCCCAAAACTAGTTTCGCGCGCTGTCCTGAAGATCCGTCGGCTGCGGCTCTTAAGGAGCCCTGGGATGAAAAGGTGACCCGAATTCGAGAGTCTTCTCCGTTCGGACATCTCTCCAATTGGAGACTTTTGGCTGCAATTGTCAAATGTGGCGATGATTTAAGACAAGAGCTGATGGCATATCAATTGTTGGCCGCTTTGCAGAAAATATGGGAACAGGAAAGAGTCCCCCTTTGGCTCAAACCGTATAAAATATTGGTCACATCAGCCGAGAGCGGTCTCATTGAGGCCATTCTCAACACAGTCTCTTTGCATCAAATCAAAAAACACTGCAAAATGTCAATACTTGAGTACTTTATCAAAGAATTTGGTTCTCAGACCAGCGAAGAGTTCCTAACAGCCCAACGAAATTTCGTGCAGAGCTGTGCCGCCTATTGTATTGTTTCCTATTTGATTCAAGTTAAGGACAGGTTTGTCAGCACCTATTCATTACTACCGAATAAATGCATTTTTGTTAATCAAACAACTCATTTGTAGACATAATGGAAATATTTTGCTCGATTCTGAGGGACATATAATTCATATCGATTTTGGTTTCATTTTATCCAATTCTCCCAAAAATCTTGGCTTTGAGAACTCGCCGTTCAAATTGACTCAAGAATTTGTTGATGTAATGGAGTGTATATTTGTTACTGTGATTGATTAGCATTAATGTTGTATTTTGATGAACAGGTGATGGGAGGACTGGGCAGTGATATGTTTGAATATTTCAAGATTCTGATACTGCAGGGCTTGATAGCGGCCCGAAAGCATAACGAGCGTATCGTAACGTTGGTAGAGATATTACAGACCAACTCTCAGTTGCCGTGTTTTAATAACGGGGCCTCAACTGTGAAGGCGCTGAGGGAACGGTTCCATATGGGACTCACTGAAGAACAGCTACAACTACAGGTCGATTCAATGGTCGAGTCTTCTATGCATTCGCTCACAACTAAACTATACGATGGCTTTCAATATCTGACGAATGGAATACTTTGATCCCATTCTCCCAAACCTATTGTTCAATTGTTTTACTAATTATTGATTTATATATTTTACTAAATTATATAATATATTCATATATTGTATTATAATTATAATGCGAAA